CATCTTCTTCTCAGAGAGCTGAAGACCCCAGAAAAGGTTTTCATTTCCAAGCTGCTAAAGCTTCATCTGAGTTTCTGTCAAAGTCGAAAATAAGGTTTAGATTTATTATCCGACCTAAACCAACAGAATATTAAAAACTCAATGTTTATGCCAGGAAGAGATGACTTCTGTTGCAAGGAGATAAGGTATTTTAATATTCCTAAACTGGATTACAATCTGAGAAGCATTCGTGTCTGATTTTAAATCACCAAATAACCCAACCTGTAAAACATTTCTAAATTAAATGTAGAAATAAATCTATTTAAGAATTAGAAAATAGAACGTAAAAATAATTAAATACTTTGATTCAGAAATGTATAAATTAAATCTAATGTAAGTATCTTCACACAAAAAGTAATTGTCACATTCATATTATTTTAAATGATTTATGTTCTTGAATAATTTCACTTGATCATTTTTCTGCTTCTGTTATAAAAAACTGATGCAGAAGTTGCTGGTTCAAAACCTCCTGCTTCCATCAGTCTTTAAAAGCAAAAAACAGTAAAGAAAATGTTTTTAAAAACTCCCAATTAAATCAAGAATAATAAAATGAATAAAGTATTCAAATAAATTAGTTTTAATCACTATTTGTTGGATTAACCTGCAAAACCGTTCCCTAACAACTACGAACAAACCTTTTATCTGAATATGAAAAAATGATCGGTGCATCTATGATATAAAAAACTTTAGACTAAAAAGAGATAGCTATTTTTCTTCTTTTGGTTTTAATTTACTCTAAATGAGGATTAAAATTTTCAAAGATTTTCCTGAATTAATCCTGACATTTCCAGTAATTCTCCAACGTCCGTAAGAAGTCTCCACCAATAAGGATGTTTTAATGATTGAATTTGTTAAAATGTTTTTCAGGTTCTCTGGTGAACTTAGATGCTAGGGATTTTTCTGCAGTAGCTTCGTAAATAAACAACAACAACAACAAACAAACATGCACATAGTTGGTTTAAATTACCAGTAAAACACGTTTGCTCCATATGAGCCAAAACTAACAAAAAATGTAAAAAAATATTCATTCGGAAATTTGAACTTGACCCCAAAACATCTGAGATAAAAACTTCAAAAGATGGATGTTAAATCTGAGTTTTATTTAGTATTTTAGGCTGAATGAACAGGAGTTTCTTCCCAGTTCATCCTTTAGGAAACACGAATGTGGAAAAAAAATGGATTTAGGACAAACATCTGGAGTCCAGCTGCAGCTTTGAACAGAAACAGACCAGTCAGGTGTGTGATGGATCATCTTCGTCTCTTCAGATTTCCTATAAATGTTCCTCTAAACTGAAACAGGAAGAACTCCAGCAGGAGTCACGGAGGTCTGGAACACTAAAGTTTAAAGTCCAGATGGATCAGGCATCGGGTTCTGACTCAGACCCAAAACTTTGAGTTTTATTTTTAAACATCCATCGGCTTTTTTTATGTTTCAGCTTTACTTTGATTTTACTGACAACTCCTGAGAACGTCCTAGTCCTATTTAAATGTTGTTGCCATGGTAACTGCTGTTTCTTGGTTTGTGATCGGTGTTCATCAGCTGTGTGATGCACAAGCGTTTTAGTAATTAAAATAAAACTTTATGAACACTGAGTGTGTTTGTTATGTGACTTCGGTCACACTTTTGTTGTTGCAGACCTCAGATCAGCGACAGGTTTGAAAATAACAGAAATGTTTGATGTTGCTGTTTTAGCACCCTCTGGTGGACAAACCTAACAGGCATTTTCCACAGATGTAGGCTATTTGGGCTTGGTCAAGTCAAGAATTCTTTATTCCGGACTCCAGTTCCCAGAAGTAGGAAAAATAAAACATTATACAGATAAGATCAAATGAAATGAGCACAATATGACACGCTAAATAATCATGAAAACAAAAACAACAAGTAATAATAACAGTAGTGTGAAAATAAATGATAGTGATTCCCTATGAAAAATAAAAAGACTGTTATACCAGTGTTTCCACATCTTTGACTGGTGGTAGCATATTGCACTGACAGGTTTTAAACATCACATTTTTAGAAATTTTCAGGCTATCAATAAATGTATAAATAAAATGTTTTAAGGCAGCTTGTAGGGTGCTCCCTCACATTTAGCTACAGAAGTCTCGCTTGCACTCGTCCATCTAGGCTCCCTCAGCAGCAAACGCAGAGCATCGCTATAGGCACCCTGCAGCCTAGCATACTACATTTCTTATAGTTGGTCCATAGGTAGGCTGTGTGCAGCAGTGTACAGCAAGCCTTAAACAAGGTGATCTTTACTTTATCAACAAGACCCAAAGTTACGAGCGAGTGTATTACCCTGAGCATATAACAAAAAGCACATGTCATTATCATCTATCATGTCCTCTGTGATAGTATGACCAGACATTTGGCCGTCTTGGTGACACTACTCACAGACTCTGACAGATAAAAAGTTGCAGAGAGGCTTTGACTTGATGTCAAAAGAGAGGACGGTTTCAAAATGCTTTTTCCACTCATTTGGCTGAATCGGAAGTCAGCTGGAAACAGAATTAATCGGGAAGTAATTCCTGTTTTATCGAATCCCATTGTTTGTAAATTTGGCAAACCAGAATTTGACACGTTTGAGACATCATCAAAAATACCTCAGAAGTCGCTCCTTCAGTCAGATACCAAGAAGGTAAACTCTGTGTGAATGAGAATGTTTTATACACTCATGTGAAGTGAATGTTACATTACTAATAACCTTATTATAGTGTGTATGAGTATACTGATAGATTAACTTGTTAAACACACACTGATCTGGTGTAGATAAGATCTGAAACGGATCATCGCAAGAAAGATATTCATTTTAAACCCATCAATGATTAAAGCACAGATTATTCAAACGTTTTATTTGAACATCATGTTCATTCAACACTCTTGACTATTTCAACCTATACGTTGTAAAGTCGTTTAGGAACTTTGAGCAGTTTGAATTTTATTCAGAGTGAAGATGCAGCATGAGACCTGGACTGAGAATGGGATGTCTCAGGACTGGAGCAGAGCTCTTTGTTTTGGGCCAGACAGGTTTTTGTGTCTGCAAATGAAAGTACATTTCTGGTCAATTTGTTATTGAAAACTTGACCACTGGTACGTTACATATGCAAAGGTTGAGACACTGTCCACAGCTGGCTTTGAGGAATACTTCCTTGTTTTCGTTAGATCCTCCACACATCACTCCTATTCTGACGTCTCTGCACTGGTTACCCGTTAACTTTAGAGGTCATTTTAGAGTCCTGACTATAACTTTACCTGCTCTACATGGTCAAGCTCCTCCCTATATTACTGACCTGTTAAAGGCTTATGCTCCAACCCGAGCCCTCAGGTCCACCCACCAGAACCTTCTAGAAGTTCCAAAGACCAGATATAAAAGTTGAGGTGATCGCTCCTTCCAGACTGTTGCACCCCGACTCTGGAATGAACTTCCTTTATCCTTATGCAGCGCTGACAGTCTGGACACTTATTAAAAACACAGCTGAAGACTCTTTTATTAAAGCTGCTTTCACCTAAATGTTTTATTTTCGTATTTTTAACTCAAATTTGTAATCTGTTTATGAAATTTTACAAATTTATGACTTTATTTTTTCTGATGTTAATTTATTTCTGTTTTGAGATTATTAAGTTTTTATGACTTTGTTTTATTTTGATCTATCAAATCAAATCAACTTTATTTATATAGCACTTTTCATACAAAAAAATGCAAATCAAAGTGCTTCACAGATTAAAATGGCCCCATAGATCCCATATTCCCATCCCAGCCCCCCTCCCCAAGTATAAAACAATTGACAATTACACTTCCCCTCCCGCACCCAATTTCCAAGGTGAACATACACACACACACACACACACACACACACACACACACACACACACACACACACACACACACACACACACACACACACACACACACACGCACACACACACGTGAACAACAGAGTAAACAATAGGCTGAATGTGAAGCACTGTGATTCTCTGTCTGCGATAAGTGCAATATAAATAAAACGTACATATTTACTTATTTACTTACATAGTGTGCTAAAGGGTTAACCGTCTTGTTCCCAAACCAGAACACATACTGTTTCTGACCTAGGCACTGGGAGGACAGCATAACGAAACCCCTCTTCCATCTGTCCTGCAGCGGTCACAATGAGACTCCTGGAAAAGACAGAACTCTTAACCATAATAAAAGGACCATATTCTCTCTATTCTATTATTTCCTCACTTATATTCTGTTTTACACAAGAATGTGTTATCTAAAGTAAATAAAACAACTAGACTGCTTTACAGTAATCATGAATCAAAATAACTGTTGTTGAAATGAACATTTTCAGATCTTAAATATACCAAACGTATCTGCTTGATGACTTAATGATTTTATTATCAGTCATGTCGCATTTCATTCCAGTATATTAACAATGACAGCTATATCGTATTTAGATCTCACATAGTAAGGGAAATATTTTTAATAAGCCTCTTAGGACAGATGTGATGCCCAGGGGCTTTGTTAACGCCTCCGATTGGTCCGTTGTCAACAGGCCCTTGATATTGAGGAACACTTCCTCGTTTTCGTTAGGTCCTGCCTAAATCCTGAATGAGAACCTGGTGTGAGACCCAGCAGATCTCACAATAGAACACTCTTTAGCGGTGTAGAACCACTCTTTTTCAGAAACAAAACAACTATTGTTTGTTTTAACCTAAAAAACAACTCCAGCAGGCACCCGGGGGAATCTCATCACCATTCAGATTCAAAGGAAGCTACGGACTTTGATATCCAGAAGTCAAACAAGTCGCTTGACTCTGTGCCAGCCGGATCGCCGAGAACTCTCATCACATGGGTGCCGTAGCTCTGCACACCGGTTTTGAATGAATTATGATTAATTTGATAATACTAACATCAGCCAGGTTATTCTTATTATCCCAGACAGTTTCATCATGTTTCATCAGAGTTGGTTACTGTCTT